GAAGAAATTCAAAATAATGGTGACGAAATGGACCTTCATATGAAAATAAATTAAGGTACGACAGAATAATGCAAGAAATAAATGAAGTGAATCTGCGTGGTGTCCATCGCCGCTGAAAGGCTAAAAGGAAAGGCCAAAAACTTTGGAAAAAAAAGACCCATGCTTTAGGTCCTATGCTTTGTTTGACGGGATGCAGGCTCTGATTGATATAGTCATTAAGACTTTAATTCCGCAGTTTCGCAGAAAGTATGTCCAGTTTCTTATTCCCCACCGATCGATAAAACCTTTCACTTGCAAAAAGCCTTTTCCTCAATTCATATAACATCAAGCAAAAAATGAATGGGCTTACATATATGAGGATGATTAGTCCTGCGGATATTGAAAAGTGGAAATGATTGCGCCATTGTGCATTTTCTTTTCTTTCAACATAAAAGAACGTCTTAGATGAAGACTGCCAAACGTATTTTATCACCCTGAAAAGGGTCGTGTCTAAATCTAAATAAAAATTTACGTTAGTTAAAAAGAGGATTTAGAAAACTAAGTTGAGAAAAATTAATTGAGAAGCAATAAAATGAAGCTTTCCGCAGTCACAGAAGAAAATTTTAATTTAAGAATAGGTAATTGCATAAAAAAATTTCTGTCGGTTGCATAAAGAATCATCTTTACATTATTATTGTATACTAGACAAAGCTACTTCAGAACTCTATATATAACGTGGGCCAACCAGTAGCCGCCTAGTAATAAGACCGCTGAATATTGGGAGTTTGGAACCGTGTTCGATCCTAGCCGAAAGAGCTGGCTGCGTGATTGGTTTTCCCCACATGAATATGAGAATCGTACTGAAATATGGTACTTAACTGAAGTCTACATTAAAAAGACTTAAATTATACTTTAATAAATGCACGTAGACTGATTAGTATGTTATTTTATCGCATGATGTTGCTAGCTGTTGTCGTAAAAAATCGCTAGCACCTGCTTTCGGCAGCCGGAAATAAGCACAAATAGGTTACATCATTTCATTGTTTATCCTCGTGTATTAACATTCGTTAGTCATGTGTACTAGCTCTGAGTTACGTTTAAAGCAATGATCAATAACAGAATATTAGAAAGGACTAAAATGCTGCACGCGAATCAAAATTCACAGCTGTATGCCAGCAGTTTATGATGATCATTTTATGGGGGGAGAGGGGGAAATGTTTACTGATGGATTCGACGAGATAGAAACTCTAGTAAATTAACTATGAATGTGTTTTATGAGCAAAAAATGGATGATTGATTTCAGTGAAACATAGCAAACCTCGAATTCACACTTTCTTTAACGTTTATATTTGGCACCATCCGAATTTAAGCTGTTCGCAGAATTCAAGAATATGTTGAAAGGTCAGCATTTCTTAACTGATATTGAGGTTGCTGTGCGCAGAGGGTTCCAAAGCAAACCAAAAACTTCTTCATGAACGATGGAAAAATGAATCACACATTTGGCAAAATGTGTAGCAATAAATGGTGTTTATGTTGAAAAATAAAATATGTACTCGTAATATTTAAGAGAAATTATCTTCTTTAATGCCACTATCATTACTGTAAACGCTCACTATCATTCAAGTTAAAAGTACACAAACTTTCAATGTGCTTTGCACGTACGAGCGAGAAAAACTGGAATTTTATTTTTTCAACTAGAAATCTACGAACTGAACGTAAAGACGCAAAAGACGGCACATTTCAAGCTAGGATAAAACCGTCATAATCGCAAGAATGGTGATGACGATACAGTTGAATCGGAAGAAAAGAGAGTTTCCTGCCGGATAATGTCAAACACAAAAGATGACCTTGAGAAGAAACTACCTGTCTAGATCAATTGCGAAAGTGAGAAACGAGTCTTGAGTGGAAGAGATCTGTTTTGGACTGAGTAAAAAGAAGAGCTGGAGACACTTGTTCTTCTTCATTTGCATCGTCACCCTTAAAATAAAAAGTAAATTTCTGCTTGTAAATCGACTACAAGATGCGCCTGAGGCAAATACGTTTGAGCTTTATTAAAGAAACTTTTGAGGTTTAAAAAAGCTTTTAAAAAGAAATTGCGACACACCTAACTTTTGATTTTCCAAGGTTAATTTGCTGAGGCAATTTAAAAGAAAACACTTATCATAGCGCAATATTCTGAAAATGTCAGTCATTATCACTATATCCTAATTTCTAGTTTGTTCCATTTACGGTTTTTTTTTTTTTTTTTCCAATTCTTTTAGCTGCCTGAATTCCACTTTTGCTGAAGATTTTAAAGCCGCAACAGTTGCCCATGTAACACAAAGTTTATTTTCTACTTTAATTCGTAACTGAGGCGCTTTTTTTTTTTTTTTTTTTTTTTTTGAATAATAGTGATAATAAAAAAACAGGTTTTCAAGAAATTGGGGGGGGGGGGAATATTTGTCATACTTAATTCTACACTAGCATTCAAAATTAAAAGAATTTAGACATTTGGTCGGTTATCTCTAGAACTGACTGACAGATGGAAAAAATATACCGCACAAGAAACAGTCATGGTATATACGCATGATCGAACAAAAAAGGAGACTGACAGGATATATGGCTCCCTCTAGCAATCATATAACTCCAACAACGTGACTTCATACCGAGTATGAAGCAGCATGTGATTTCTTGTAGCAGTCGGCACCACTCCTTTGGCATTGCAGTTTTTAAGTCTTAGTTCAGGGAGGATAAAAAGAGCTGCAATTGCCCTCCTAATAAAGTGTCAGATATGAAATGCATTTTTCAAGTCTAAAGATCTGACTGGACAATTCATCCAGTTAATATCCCTACTTTTCAGAAAAACCACTCACCACATTAGCCCTATGGAAATGAGAGCTGTTGTCCATAAAATAAGCTGGGGTTCGGCTGCAACCCTGCAAGGGCGGATATAGTGCTTTGAAATTTCTTTCTTACACCAGCAACAGTCACAGAGCTTTTATCAGAGATATGAAGGTCTCTGCCCCCGTTCAGTATAACGCTTGCAAGACTACGCCGTCATACTGGTCCCTTATCGTGTATACTGGAGGAGAGGTTGCGGGTTCTTGGCTCTGCAGATAAAAGTAGTCAGTGATTAGGCTGAATCAGCATTCATCTGTGAAGAGAAAAAGTCCCCCGCTGATCCTTGCTCCCAAATAAATGTTCTCTACTCCATGCTAAACGGACTCTTTCTTGCACGCAGAAACTCGCGTGATGCAAACAACATGTCTTCTTGTAAACAGAGGAAATCGGACAGTCTTTTGTTCACCTTTACAAAGGTGTAGTTGGCCGTCAGTTCATTTTTCGGATGGAATGACTAGCCAGATCTCAAGACTAAAACTGTAAGTCTTGAACGCCTTTGGAAGGGTAATTGCAGTTTGCCTTCGCCTCACAGAAACCTCCAGGACCTAAAACAACGTTGTTGCAGGAATGGAGCCGACTCAGTCATATGTTGGGGAGGCCTGTACTAACTCACATTTTTTAGCTAAGGGACAAAATGCGTACTTTTTTAGAACACAATTTCGAACTGAAAAATAAATTATTTTTTAGAAATTGGTTGCTTAAAATTGCCTATTTAAGATCTAGTTTTACAAAGATCTATGAACATAATTTAGCTTTTCAGAGCAAACAAGTAAATACATTTACTACTCATGATAAAACTTTTAAGAAAAGATAGAATTTTGGACAATTTATGTGCGCTGCAACGACTGATTGCTTCCCAATAATAAAAGGCTTTTAGATGAGGAAGGGATTGAAATAAGGAAGACAATTATTAAAGAAACTATTCAGCACCTGAGAAGTTTCAGTGAAGTATTTTAATCGATTAACAGATTAAATTAATTGGGGATTAGAAACCCACTTATTGTCAATGCACGACCTTCGACCATATCAGCAAAAGAATATGACTCTTTTATAGATATAAAATCTGATTTATCATTGTAAGAAAAAATTTAATGAATGCTGTTAGTGGAATTCTGGTGCAGTTTAAAAGATGAACATCCTCACTTGTCACAAAAGGTCACGCACTTTTACGAATTGCAACTATATATAAGGTTAAGAAACGCTACTCTACTGCACTATCTTCTGCTCCTTCTTTGTTTTTTAGAGCTGAAAAGTTTCTGTCAGTTTCCAAAGTTTTGTTTGCTTTATTCTCTGTTTCTTTTCATTGTTTACTTACAATCATACTGTCATCTTGCGTTTCCTTTCATTAATTTGCTTTCTTATCGAGATATTTTCTACAAAAAATCAAACTTATACTTTCTATTAACGCTCTGACTAACGACACAGGCGCAATATACATTGAACAAAAACACTGCGCGAATAAAAGCTATGTAGACAACAAAGATTCACGATAGACAAATATATTTATATGCTCAACTCGTTGGAAGTATTAAACTGTGCCTATATCTTTCTAGAGAAAATTGTCGCGTGTTATCCTATGACGGAAAAGATCCCATTTTCCTCCTTTTTATGCCTAATTGGATGTTGGTAGCCTTTCTTGTGAGTTAATTATTTCTAATTTTCCCTAAGAATAATTACTTATTTGTAATTTCTAAAACATCTCTATTCACCAAAACACTAAATTAATATTAGCAGTTCGTATTGTAATAAACTTACAGTATCGGAAAACTAGGAATTTCGAAAAAGGGTTAGACGCCTATTAAATCTAGTAGTAAGGAAGCGAAGTCCGAAAATTGAATGATTATTAGCCGAAAGATATCTCAAGATGCTTAGTTACTCATCGGCATCAACCAACACTTGAAGAATAGTATGCGGGGGAGTGCCGGACTGTCTGAAAACGCGCAAATGTGAAAAATTTCTGGAAATTACGCAAGCATAACTAATGCTTAAATACGAGACTTCCCTTATAAAATCCTCAACGAAAGCATCCCTCCATAAGACAGACAACCCTAGCGTCTTCTACCAAGACAAACTTTCTATTTTATTGACGCCAAAATCAGAAGACGTTAACAGTTTATGGTAATTAATAAATCTATACTTACTGTGATCATGCGCGAAGACGAAAAACCGTCTGCGGGCCATTTCGTGAGCCAGTTCATCATACATCATACAGTGTTCTGTAAACCCATGACTGATCAACAGTATGGCTCTGTAAAATAAAATAAACAAATAAATAAAAACACATTTCTAATATGTTCTAATCTTTTACATTTATTACACAATTCAGTAATCATTACATAAGAACACCCCCTTCCCTTAAATGGGCGGATAAGAATAACCTATAAGAATCTTTATGTATTTTCTCCTCTCGGTTAACTCAGGAATTCTCTGAAGAAATTCTACCGCACAAAATTCTCGAAAGCGTACAATACAACATGAAATCTCTCATGAATACACGCGGCCCAGTTCTAAACGGAAAGCTTTAACAGAAAGAAGCGGTGGATTATATGTTTGATGGAGAGAGAGGAGAAAATCATCTCATCTAAGAAATGCCTGATTTTTACAGATACGCAGGTATACTGGATGTTTCAGCAAATCCGTTACAAACTTTCAGGAGAGATAGGGTACACCTGGACGATGAAAAATCGTATAGCAATGAATGGTCGGAGAGGCTTTCCTGGCGCGGTAGTGACGACATAAATCACAAGAAAGGAACGGCACGAACTTGGTGAGAAACTTGTTTATTATGCTTAGTACAGCAGAAACCAAGAAATAAGAACAAAAACGGACAACGACTGTCATCAAAGAAGGTGTTCAAATTAACACCTTGGACTGTGATGCAGGAACTGTGCGCCATGCATCTTCCATACGTGATGCAGATCTTCCATGCAGGTGTAAGGTCCGGGGTCGTAATTTCGAACACCCTCTTTATGACGATGGTTGTCTATTTTTGTTCTTATTTCTTAATATCTGTTATACTAAGCATAATAAACATGTTTCCGCATCCTATTCATGTTCTTCCTTTCTTGTGTTTTTGTATTGTTACTACCGCCCAGAAAAGCGTTTCCGACCATGCATTGCCATATGATTTTCCGTCGTCTACTTGGACTCTATCTCACCTGAAAGTCTGTACCTGATTTGGTGAAACATCCTGTATACACAAAGTGTTTTCAGAGTTTTAGAAATTGAGTTCTAGTTGGATGCTTAGAACTTATAGCCAAAGCCAGCGGCTAGAGACAAATCTTGACATGTTCATGCAGCTAAACTATGCATCATTATTAACTCCAATTCAATTGTTTGATTGATACAGGCGAAACTTTGTAGCAACGTTTTTACATCCATGGATGATGCGAAGAGCAATTATTCTCTTTTTGTGGAAAGAGGGTGTGAAAACTTAAAAAAACTGTTGAGCTCATACGAGGAGCATCCTGCTTCCACATTTGAAGAAAAGCACCACATGACTTCCTTGTACGACTTATTAAATTAGAGACTTTTTTTTTTTTTTTTTTTTTTTTTTTTTTTTTCTGCAGTTCCTTTAAACATCTTTCCAACTTGCCTTGAGGGATCGGTAACTTAATTAACCGATCCCTCAAGGCAAGTTGAAAATGAAATCAAAAATTGCAAATTTTGAAAAAAATATCCAAGTCAATTTTTGTCGTAGGGAGATCAAATTTCTCAAATTTTATTTTTTCATTACGAATATAAAACTTTACCAAACATACATCGCATTAAAATTTAGATTTCATTATTTGTCGGAAATCAATTTATTTGTAAATATCGCATTGCCAAAACATGAATATTTTAGTCATTTAAAACACTTCTGTAACTGGAAGTACACGACTCCGAACGACGATTGCGGAAATAAAGGTTTTTAAGGTTGTAAAGGGGTAGGTGTATATATAGAGAGAAAAATCCGTTTGGTACTGTTAGTTGCAATAAAAAAGAGAATTGCTCAACTGGATGTCATAGCAGTTCCTTGTATAAAATTTCAAAGTTCTACGGTGAATCTTTTTTGAGTTATATATATACATGCATACATACGTACATACCTGCGTACAAACGTCACAAAAAAGCTCCTTTTGAATCCCCTTTAAATCTATTTTGCAAAATAAAATCTTTTATTCTGTACATACCTATAGATGTCACGGACAAGAGTCCTCCAAAATGGATTCAGGAGCAGTGAAAATGAATATAATACTAGAATTTTTTGCGTTTACAATACGTCCTTTTATTCGTACAAGGAATTAAAATCTTTATGAGGTGTTCGATTGAGAGTCTCCATGCCATAAACAGGTTGATGGAGGGAACACCGAAAACAATCTTTGAGGACTGCTAAAAAAATTAGTTTTTCGCTAAAAAAATTAATCCGTTTTCGTCATTTAAAGGAAAAATTCTGAAATCTGCATTCAGGCTTAATGAAAGGCAAAATGTAAAACAAAATACTGTTTTATCGCAAGAGACTGGTAAAAAAACTTTTTCTAAAGTATTATGATAAACAGCAATTTTTTTTTTTCTGAAATATTACTTGCGGAACACAGGCAAATATTTTCTTTAATAAATGGAAAAGTCGTTTCCCCTGTCAAATAAATCTTTCAAATACACAAATAGAATTTAGAAACGGCACAAAATGAAGAGAGTAGTTTATATTATTTTTCACTCTTTTCTGAAGGATATTTGTGGTATTTTACTTTTAAAAAATGCATGCAGTCACACGTGTTTTTTTTTTTTTTTTTTTTTTTTTTTTTTTTCTTCGCAAAGTAAATAAATTACATAAATGCAAGTCAGGTACACTTCTGTAAAGAGATTTTATTAATATAATTTTTAAAATATATACAATTGGCATAACCGTAATAACCATAACCATACTAATTGTCATCAGAAAGTGCCTTGAAGTTAATTCGAATAAGTTTGAGGATATAAATCTCTAGTTTTGAAAACTAAGTTTAATTATTCAATTTAATATTGTTTTTATTTTAAATTAATGTAATAACTTAGATTTAAGATTCTAAAGAGTACTAGTAGAAATCACGTATTTAACCGAAATTTTAAAAAATAAAATCTAATCTTAATAAAGAGATGTGCTGGATTATAAAACATAAAATAATAGGCCAATTGAAATTGAAATTTCTAGCTTTGATATTTTTTATCCGATGAGTAGTAATAATGCTTCTCAAACAGACCCAATAAAAAAAGAAACAGTTTGATATACAGTAAAATCTCAATAACTTGAAACTCTGATTTCTTAACTCTTCGGCTAATTTGACACAGATTTAAATTCTCGGTTCTTCCAGTTCTTTTATAAGACCAAAAAGTCTCATTAAGTTGACATGTTAACAAGAGAGGTTGTTTAACGCGTCATGCTTACCTTGTCCCAAACTTTTTTTTCCTCATCGTGTTTTAGATGCGCTTTCTACAACAGATTTCTCAAAAACCTATACAGTTATTTTATTTCTATTATTGGACAATCAGTGAGTGAGAAAGACGCCATCAATGATATCTTGATGAGGGGAGGTCACTCGGAAGATTTCTTTGCACAATTAGTTTCCCAAGAAATTTCCGGTTTGTTAAACGAGTGTTTTGCTAGATTCTCCGAAGTTTACTACTGTTATCTAAGTATGAGTGCTATAATAATGGCTCCTAGGTCTAGAAAATTAAACACTTTTCCGCTTGAAGTGGAATTTCGTTGCAAAATTCGCGATGCGAAAAGTCAGTCGGAAACTGCGTAACAATACTGACTCTCTCATTACAACCCTCACCATTTTTGCACAAGTTAAAGAAAAGGTATTTTTACCTTTGAAACTTCCTTAAACCTTCCAGAAACAAAAAGATACTTGAGGCGTACGATTTTCAAAATGTTAAAGTTACTAATGTTGTGGTAAGGTTAATGAGAATAATCTATGTGAATTAATTCCTTTCGGGTTGATATAGTTCCTGGGATATTCCATGATGCCGTACCGGAAATTTCAGTTTTCAGTTATGGATCCAGGAATTAAAAATTCCTGCTGGTATTGTGATATCTTTTAAGCTATTATTTTGGTGGACGGATCTAACTCCTTTATCTTTAATTCTGAACAGATTCATTACCTCAGAGTTTCTCAGAGAGAGAGAGAGTGAAGTTCGTTATTCTTATAGTCCAAGGAAATTTGTATTTTCTTAGAAAGCCTAATATGAGTATGCAACGGTCTGTAATATTTGCTACCTATGGCGTGCGATGGTAGGCGGCACTTCCAAACGTGATGTTAACGTTTAATTTTGTATCAATGTCGATTTTATCTTCGGACACAGTCTGGAGCGTAATGCAGAGTGGCATACAGATAAGTTTACAAATGCTGACCCAAATCTTTGTGGAGGATATTAACATTGGTCCTTGTATCAATCCTCATACTGTAAGGAACTCCACTTATATGTCCCATGACGAAAAGTCCATTACTGCCGCCACTCATTGCAGAAATCTGAAGTGCATTAAAACGGGATTTCTTGCTGGGAAGTGGTCTTAACTTCAATGCCTTGGAGTTAAACAAGTATTTTTTTTACTGGAAATCTTTCTAATTTATTTATACATATATGATCACTATATAATCACAAAAGTGCTTTAAATAGGTAGGAAATTAAATAACTTTAAAGTATCGCATATGCTTAATGAGTTTAGTAATAAAATATAAGTACATTATAATGCGATATAAAATACTGTTTTTAACCTTCATTGCTGTGTAGAATATTTTATCCAAAGAGATTGCCGGAATAATTCAAAAGCAAAAAGCATGAAAACATCGAGAGCTTTTTGAAGCTCATTTTGAATTTTGAATCTTCCAAGTTTCATTTACAAGGGCGTCTTTCGATAGTTGGGCGGTGCAGGGGAGAAGAGTCTAGTCTCACTAACAAATAGAAGTCTGGGGATTCGATTTTAAAGAAATTTAAGCATAATTATGGACATCTTCATTAAAACGGAGTGTGGTCGGAAAATAAAGAAAAATGAAGTGTATAGTGTAGAGAATGCTCTACACTATACACTTCATTTTAGAGTGTAGAAAGAGATGCTCCGTACTCCCTTACATTTTTACCCGTCCACAAAATACTGAGCAATTTCAGAGCGAAGACAAGCTGAGACTATTGGAGGGAGTTAGGGTGTCGGATTCGCCAAAAAACATTTTCGTCCTGTTTCTTTTTCCTCTGGTGGCTCAATGTCGTTTTGTCCTTTCTCGTTTCATC